GACTTTTGTTGGCAAGGTGATGTCTCTGCTTTTTAAGATGCTGTCAAGATTTGTCATTGCCTGCACATAAGGGAGAGTAAATCAGCAGGCTAAGAGAACATCATATCAACATTCAGGAACTCACAAACACAAGGACACCCTCTTTGTCCCCAGCCGTAATGTACCGTGTCCAGTACCAACAGAAACGTCTCTTGGGGTGGAAAAGATAGCAGAGAAAGCACAAAAATATCCTTGAAGTGAATACAGCTGGCTGACTGGCACCCAGTACTCCTGTCTTGTTCTAGATCGGAGATAGGCTCAAATGTAGTTATTGGAATTAAGAGGTTAAACCTGCACTAGTAAACATACATAGGTTGGGAGAGACATTCCCATCTGTTCGTGTGCATGTGCAAAGGAGGGGAGAGCATCTTTTATTTCACCCACTGACATGCTTCGAATGAATGCCTTTTTAGGCAATGCCCATCAATTTAAAACCAACAACCTCTGTAACTTAGGGTTTAAGTCAGCAAAACCAGATTAATGCAGGTTTTTTTAAAGTCAAGAAAATATTTGGAATGCCATAGAAATTAATCCCAGACAGGGGCTTTTTCTTGCTGCTAATTTACTATCTCATTTCCAGTTACAGAAGCTCTTCATGCCGAGTTGTACAACATAGGCAGGAGGATGAAGCGCTAGCCAGCATTCCAAAGAACATTTCTAATTTAAACATGTATGCCTTTTGCTCTCTTATGAATCAGGTTTCAAATTAAGTATTTTACTTGTTTAAAAAAGGAGTACTTATTTTCACCTGTACAGTACTTGTTTCCTTGATGTTATTCTGATTATCTTCTGGTCAAGGTTTACTATTATATCGATACACTTTTTTTAAAAGTATAGTTAAATTTTTCAGCTTCACTAAGCAAACAGCTTCGAAGCCTTGTTCCCTTTCATCTTGAATTTTTATTTGAAACCATCTGTGAGCCCACAGAGGAGCAACACACACACATTTCTCTGTATTTGGCAATAACTGATAAACCAAAGATGACAGTTGCCATCTTTGACTCTTATTTCTTTCTCCAACTGGTTACTTTCCAGATACAGTGGTGCCTCACACAACGATGTTAATTGGTTCCAAAAAAATCAACGTTGTGTGAAACATCGTTCTGTGAAACACCATTTCGCATAGGAATGAATTGAAAACCGGTTAATCCGTTCCAATTGGAACAGATTGCCGTCTTTAAGTGAAAAAACCCATAGGAAACATCGTTGAGTGAAACAATGTTTCCTCCATTGGAATGTATTGAAGCCGACTCAATACATTTCAATGGCTTTGCGAAGTCCTTTTTCGCACTGTAAAAGTGCCTTAGTGTTTGGAACAGGTTTTAAATGCTTGCAATCGTTAGCCCACCTCCTGAACCCTATGCAAACTTAATTTG